CCACATTTTGTTTATCCATTTGTCAGTTGATGGACATTTGGGTTGTTTCCACCTTTTGGCTGATATGAATAAGGCTGCTATGAATATCTGTGTACAACTTCTTGTGTGAACAAAAAATTCTCTTAAGTTTATACCTGGGAGTGAAATTGCTGGGTCCTATGGTAACTCCAGATTTTACTTTTTGAGGAACTGCAAACCTACCATCTGATTTTACTGACCATCAAGGCAAGAGGATGAGCACAGAGAATCTTAACTGAATCTTCCCAGATGCAGGAATGTTAGCATAAAAGCAGGTCCAAGGGGACTTTCCTGGTGGTGCAGTGGTTAAGAATCCGCCTGCCAATGCAGGGGACACAGGTTCGAGCCCTGGTCCCGGAAGATCCCACATGCCGTGGATCAACTAAGCCCGTGCACCACAAGTACTGAGCCTGTGCTCTACAGCCCGCGAGCCACAACTACTGAGCCTGCATGCCACAACTACTGAAGCCCGCGCGCCTAGAGCCTGTGCTCCACAACAAGAGAAGCCACCGCAGTGAGAAGCCCGCGCACTGCTGCGAAGAGTAGCCCCCACTTGCCACAACTAGAGGAAGCCTGTGCACAGCAACGAAGACACAACGCAGCCAAAAATTAATTAATTTATTTATTTTAAAAAAAAAAAAAAGCAGGTCCAAGAAAACAATTCCTAACTGTCCAGCAACTCCTAAGTAATTTTGCCTTTGCCCCTCCCCCAACACACACACAGTATGGTCTACACTCAAATTTTCTCAGTAAATCCTGTTTTCTCTGCCAAGGACACCCAGCCTGATCCCAGGGGGATTCTTCTCTAATAATACAAAGGGCTTTTAGGAATCTACTGAAAAACAAGGAAGTTATATTTAGGCCAAAGCTGTGGGGAGGTTATGCCTCAGAAGACACACAGCAGACCCATGTGGGCTCTGATCAAAGCAAAGATGTCGTCCCAGAATTGTTTCATAGAGATTACAAATAAAACACCCAGCTTTTGAGCGCTCACCAGTTACCCCCAAGGTAGATTTCCACAGCCGTGTCCAGAGTGGCCGTCCTGGATGAGAGGGCCTACAGTGTGACTTGAAGCACCATGAATATATCTCTCCAACCCGGCGAAGGCAGAGGGGTGGGCAGCCTCCCTCACTGGACCCCAGGGACCAGGCTGAGAGTGGGCACTCCATGGCCAGTCCTCCAGGGAACACATGGTGAACAAAACCCAAAAAGACCGATTTCTGAAAGAGGCTCAAAGTCTGAAGAGGGCTGTCCTTTCACGCCCTCAGGAGAGGGCACTTCTGGGCAGACGGGCTCATGCGGGTGTCATACAGGCTCCGGTGCTGAAACCTAGGCCGCACAACTTGTACAGTCTCCTGGGAGCCAGTCACTTTGTGGTTCCCTTAACATCCCCATGATCTGTGCCTGGACCCTGGCTTCCTCTTTTCACCACCAGACACAAAGATCAGGCTGGCCCTGGTGCACACCCCCTCTACCCAGCTCCTCCCTAACTGCTGGGTAGACCCGAGCAAGGCCCCGCCCAGCTGGGCCTCAGTCTTCTCCTGTGAAATGGACCTTCCAGATGCAGGGTTACACACGGCCTTCCTTGGAGGGCTCTGAAAGCTTGGGGCACATACACACACCCAAGCAGGCCTCCTTGATAATTTATATATTTTACATGTTGGCCTTTGAACACAAGGTGCAGAGCCGGGACACCTAGAAGCCCCTTCACAAACTTGGAAGACCCTTCACAAACTATGTCTGACCCTCTGCCCTGTGCCTGTCCTCCGGTGGGACAGTCAGCTCCTAAGCACCTCTCCCCTCCCCACCCTCACGGTACAACCAAGGATCAAAGGGAGTCTAATCAGAGGGGAAAGGCAGGGTGTGTTTAGTGGGTGCTGTTGAAAGAAAAGTGCCCAACATCAGGCACTAAAAGCAGCTCCCGGTGGATCAGGAGTCCTGGGCTTCCCCCCAACTTCCGGCCCCATCAGAGTTAGTTGGGCCACCTCTGGCCTTAGTGCCCCCGCGTAAGCTGGGGCTCCGTGGAGAAGCAGGACCTCCCAGTACACCCTGGAGCCTATGGGCACTGGGTAACACCGGGCATTTTCCTCCTGGACACTGAGGCTTTCCTCCTGCCTGTGACACGGGCTTCCGTCCGCCCCGCAGCAACTTCCACCGCCCAGCGGCGACCCTCGGAGCCCTCCCGGGATTTGGGGGGGGGGGGGGGACGGGGGGCTTTGTCTTACTTAGGAAGACTTAGCAGGGATTTGGGGGGCGGGGGGCGGGGAGCGGACGCGGAGGAGGCGAGTTTGCTCCGTCCTCACTGGGAGCAAAGCTCCGCGTTGAGTTTTGAGGGACCTGGGTTGGTGCAGGCCTGAGTCCCTCATCCTAGACCAGGGGTTGGGGGCGCGGACCTATACCAGCCCTCGGACTGTTAGGAACCGGGCCGCACAGCAGGAGGTGAGCGGCGGGCGAGCGAGCGAGCAAAGCTTCATCTGCCGCTCTGCATCCCCCCTATCGCTCGCATTACCGCCTGAACCGTTCCCCTCCCACCCACACCCCGCCCCCGGCGTCCGTGGAAAAGTTTTTTTCCACAAAACCGGTCCCTCGTGCCAAAAAGGTTCGGGACCACTGTCCTAGACGACCGCCCTCTCCTCCCCGGCCCCGGACGCTGTTTCGGCTTCTTGGGGCCCTGCAGGCGCCGGGGTCCCGCAGAGCTTGCCCGACGCGCTCCTCACCTGCCAGCGGCCTCCCGCCGTTCCGGCTCCCGTTCCGGCTCCCGCTCCTGTCAGCAGCTCCCGTGGTCGCCGCCGGGCCCGAGGCCCCTCCCTTGCCAGCGTGACTCGGCGCGTCTGCTCTCCAGCCTCGGCGCGTCTGCCCTCCAGCCTCGGCTATGCCCCCGGCGGCGCCCCGGGGAACTGCAGCCTCCGGCCCGCCCGCGCCGCCGGCCCGGGAAGCCAATCGGCCCAACCGTGAGCACTCGACCGCTACTGTCAAGGACGCCCGCGCTGCCCCGGCCCCTCGGACTCTGCTCAAAGTTCGGTCCGGCTCCCTTGCCGGACGCCTTTCCAGCCTTTAGAGCGCGGGCCCCGGCACTGGCTGTGCGATCTCGGACGGATCACCAGCCTCCTGCCTTCACACATATAAACAAAAGTACAAACCCAGTTGAGCACCTACTCCACGCCCGGCATTGTGCTGGGCGTGAGGGGTGGGAGTGAGGGGTTGTAAAATGTAGAACAATGCAGGCATGGTTTCTGCTTTCCTCCAGGTAATAGTCTAGGGAAAAATACTAAACAACAATAAAACATATGTAACACTAATTGCAGTAAGAAAGACCGGGGGCAAAAGAAGGGTGCCAAGGCCTCTCTCCAAGGATGAGAAGTTAGCCCTGGGCAGAGAGAAAGCAAGTATGCTCTGGGTGTGCAAAGACCAAGGCAGGATAAATAGCTGAGAGCAGGGGCATTGCAGAAGTGGTCGGGGACAGAGTGGCCCAACGTGGCAGGGTGGCACAAGCCTCCAGGTCCTGGTAAAGACTGCCCGTGTGATCCCAAGGGCAACGGGATGCCACTGATGGGTTTTAAGCTGAAGAGTGAGGTCTGAGTTATGTTGGAGGGTGAAAAGACAGGGCAATGGGAGGGCTGCCTGAAATTGGGTAAACTGGGCAGGAGGGGAGTCCAGGGAGAAGAAGAAAGCACTCGGATCTGTCAAGAAATGTACTGCTGCAAGCTACAAACTGGAGGTAGGACCAAGCCAGTTTGGTGACAGATAATCCATCTTCACCTATTTAATGCAAATATTAGCACCTACCCGAATCACTGCAGAAAAGATTCAACGAGATCTTTTTTTTTTTTTTTTTTGCGGTACGCAGGCCTCTCACTGTTGTGGCCTCTCCCGTTGCCGAGCACAGGCTCCGGACGCGCAGGCTCAGCGGCCATGGCTCACGGGCCTAGCCGCTTCGTGACATGTGGGATCTTCCCGGACCGGGGCACAAACCTGTGTCCCCTGGATCGGCAGGCAGACTCTCAACCACTGCGCCACCAGGGAAGCCCCCAAAGGTCTCTTTTAAGGGATGCCTCTACTCCCACCAGCGGCAGGGGATAGGCTGCAGAGAAGGCCAGGTAGAAGGTTCTTATAGGCCAGGCCTGGAAGTGGCACACCTCCTTTCTGCCCTTTGCAACTCACAGACACACCTGACCGTGAGGGTGGCCAGGAGATGCAGTCTAGTGTATGGCCACAAAGAGGAAAACAGATTCTGGTGTCTGACCTGCTGACCTAGGTCTTAGCCTCCCCGGTTTTCTTCCTGTGCCTCTGCTTGTCTCTTCTCAGCCCCCTTGCAGGCTCCGGCTCTACCTCTGTCAAAAAATGAAGTCAAAAAAATCATGAGGCAGGCTTGTGCGGAGCAGTAATGGTGACCCGTATAAGAGCAGCATCAGAGCAGAGTGGCAGGGGCAGCCTGATAGGGTCAGAACACTAGCCACATGCAAGGGATGGAGCAAACAAGTTAATATATTGAGGATAATGTAGCTGTGTTTCTCACTGACAGGAGGGAAGTACCAATATGAAAAGGGGAGAGCTAGAATGAACCTTGTGGTATTGAACTTGTGGTATCAAATTGGAACTGTCAGTGTTAACGTGTGGCATGGCTTGCAACATATAGAGATAGAAATAAATATAGATGTAAGGTCTGTCTACCGAGAGGGCCTGGGAGCAGCAACACCTCAGAGTAAGAAGCACACCTCGTACCTAGATCTTTGCTTCTAAATACTGTTCTCTAGTAAAGAGGACACTGGAGAAGTGGCTGATTCCAGGGAAAGTACAAAGTAAGTCTACAACATTTTGTTTTGAAGGAAGTGCTCAAAGAATGATGGGGAGATGTCAAAAGAACACAGAAGCTAGTTTGAAGGAGCTCTCACTGGCCAATATGGACAACTGAAGCATCAAAATAATGATAACAATAGATTATAATCCATTGAATAAACTATGAATCCATGATTCCACACAGATACAATTAAACAGAGAGGAGGGAAAGCTTTTACTTACAATAGAAAGCCAGTGAATAAATGTAGGAGGAAAAATGAAAATAAAAAATTTCCATTGGGCAAACATTAAAGTTATTCAGCCAAGGGACATCAGTGGGTGCTAAGCATAGTAGATGGAAGTGGGATAGGGATATGTACATAGTCTCCAAATACTGCCACACAAATACTTACTAATTACAAAGAAAAAAAGGAACTTTACAGTGGAGAAACCTAGCAGGCACCGTCTTACTCAAATGTTCAAGGTTATCATCTATAATCTGACAAATAAAGATCATGCACCACCCAGTAGAACATGATGATAAGACAACATCACTAATGTTACATCCCAAAGATGTGTATCCCAAATCTAATCATGAGGAAGTGTGGACAAACCCAAGCTAAGGCACATTCTGCAAAATGACTGCCCTGTTTTCTGCAGGAAGGTCAAGGGCAGCAAACTCAAGGAAAGCCTTAGGAGCTGCTCCAAGTCAAAGGGGAGAGAGCCATGGCAGGTGGGTAGAACTCATGATCCCAAATGAGGTCTCTTTGTTACAGAGAACATCACTGGGGCATATGGCACAAATGGTATGGGGTGTCTGGGGGAAGGGCGTGTGGGGATTCTTGTTACTTTTCTGTAAGTTTAAAACTGCTTCAAAATAAAATCATTTTTTTAAAAAGCAGCAGCAATGTCTTCTCCTCTCTCTTTTCCCCCATCCACCATCCAGGTACAGAAGACCTGGCAGAGGATCTGAGGTCCCAGACCCAGTGATAGAGCCGCAAGAAGGAAGGAGCTCGGTCCCTCAACCAGAACTGCACAGGAGCCACAATCCCCCACTTCCTGGTCAGGTGCATGACTTTGGACTTTACATGAGCAATAAACAAACTTCTATTGTCTTAAGGCACTGAGATGGGGGAGAGGGGACCTTTTATTGCGTTATCCTAACTCATCCACTTAACAGCCTGCTGTGCCTCTCTACTTGAGATCCCACGGACACCCAAGGAAACATCTCGTCCCTAAACTTGTCAGCCACTCATCACTATCCTGGCTAGAGACCCAGCACCATTTGACACTTCTCTCTCTCTGCATTGCCCCACATCCAGTCAGGTCCACCTCCTGTGTCATGCTTGATCTCTATGCCCACCAGGCCTGCTGTGGCCATCTTCCCCGTCACCAGGGCCATTGTCACTGGTTCCCCAGCCTCCATTCCAATCCCTTCTCCACTTAGCATGGCCAGACACACAAATGTAGTTTCACACTTCCTTGTCCCAGCTCCCACTGCCCTCAATCTGGACACCCTCCCTGTTTCCTGTTTCTGTCTGGTAAATACCTACTCTCCCCTCAGGGTTCAGCTGCATGAATTCTTGCCTGACCCTCCCTGCTCTGGGCCCCTGGACGTGGTCTTCCACCTGAACAGGACAGAGACGCCCTGCTCATTCCACTAACGGGGTGACACACCAGTCTCCCCGGAATAGCCTGAGCTCCTTGGTACCCACACATGCTGGAATCAATCCTCCCCTTCCCACTTGCAGCCAGGTCAGAACTCGGCTCTCCCTCCCCACCTCCATAAATTCACTACAGGATTTCTCTCAAGCTAACTTTGCCCTCTGGCCCCATTCCTAATGCACACAGAGGGGAACAACTGTCTCAGGGGTATTCTGTGGTTGCCCAGAGCTGGTGCTCAGCAAACAGATGTTAGAAACAAAGTACTCCCAGCAATTCTCTCTGCTTAGATTAGCCCCCTCTCCCCCAGTCATTCCCCAATGGCATTCAACCTGTCAGTGATTTAACAATCATTTCTTGACGGCCTGCACAGGCAGGGCCCTGGGCACACAGTGCATGTTCCTGACTCCCAGGGTTGGCCTTAGTTCCTAGGGCCTGCCTTGGCCTCATTCACCTTTGAACTCCCCAACCCCCATCCATTCCAGGACCTGGCACAGGCCTGGGTCCATCCAGGCAGCCTGTAAACAGTTGCTGCCAGGCCAAGGCCACCACCGTCTGGGATCTGCAAGCCCCGCCCAGTGCTAACTGGCACCACGGCCAGCTACCAGGACTAGTCTGGCGCAAGAGTGTCCCGTGAGATCAAACCCCCCTGAAAAGGCAGGATGGAAAGGTATATTTCTGTGCCTGGTGCTTTCCTATTCCCCATTCAACTCTCAAAACAAAGAAGGAAAAGAAAGAAGCTGGTATGTATTAGTAGGTCCTGTCCCTCGTAGGTCCTGTTTATTCCCAAACCCCAACTAGACACATTCTACCCCTCCCCCACCACGTCCCCACCCCCGACCCCTGAGAGCCACTTTACGGGCCGGAAAATTAAGGCACTGTGTCAGCGTGCCCCTGTAGGTCAGGGCACCCGACATACGAAGAGCCGGGAGTCCTGGCTTTCGGGGACGCCACCGCTGGTCCAGCGGGACAGGAAGATGCTCTTTCCCTTCCGCCTCTGGTCTTCAGAGCAGGGCCTCTCTGCTGAGGTTTTCTGAGGAAGCCCCAGTGCTGTCAGCCCCATTCTGACCGAGAGCAGAGAGGAACCCAGGCCCCAAGGAAGCCGCCGCTGCAGGCGCCCAGTGACCCTCAGGAGACAGGGAACCGTGGCTGGGCCTGCCTTCCAGTAACATTTGTCTGTTAGGACCAGGTCTGTCTGTTGTACGGTTGTACTGCGCTCCCCAGAAGGGGAAAGAACAGAGCTGAGCCTAGTGTCGGGGGAAGAGAGAGGTGGTGGCTCGAGAAAGCACCCCAAAACGGGCTGCCAGGTAAGAGATCCGTGGGGGCTAAAGAGAAGTTTGGTCCAGACTCCAGAGCTGAGCAAGGTGGGTGGTGATGGGGATGCAGCCTGGCTGGGGTGTGCCGTGTCAGGGTCCTCAGGCCACCAGCCTCAGCGCTCCCCACGGCATCAGATGGTTGCTCTTCTCTCTAGAGGGGTGCCACAGCTTCAGAGCTTGCTCCGTGGGGCCTCTGCCAGGGGTCGCTGCAGCCGCCACACCACCCTCACTGGCTCAGGGGCGCGGTCCAGCTGGCGGAGGCCGCCCAGGTCGCCTGCCTGGCTGTACCGCTGCAGGGCCGGCTGGAGCACCGTGATGGGAATGCTGAAGTTCAGGTGGGGGTAGGTGGCCCCCGTGTTATTGTCCCGGGTGTTGCTGGCGATGATGCCTGTTCAGGAGCCAGAGAGGAAAAGAGGGTGTGAAGCAGGGGACAGGGGAGGGAGGCTCACCTCCAGCCTGGAGGCCCTAGACCTGCCTGAAGCCCCCTCGTAGTGACAGGCACCAGGCTTCATTCATGGACACGGGCTCCTCGTGCCTCAGTCCTCCTTCCTGGCTTTACTTTCTCCCCAGCACTATCAGTATCTAATACCCCATGTTTCACTTGTTTTGTTATCCCTCTCTCCAACTTCTGTTATCTTTCAGCTCCATGAGGGCAGGACTGCTGTGTTCTGTCCATGCAGTCTCCCCAGTACCTGGAACAGTGCCTGGCAAAGGACGACCTCAACAAATACTAGCTGAGTGACTGAATAAATGAATCAGACCCACACAGAACTTTTGTTTGGCCTGCTCAGTGCATGTGTATGAATTTTTTGAAGACAATTTTAGACTTAACAGAAGTCTTGCCAAAATAGTACAGGATTCCTGTATACCCTTCACCCAGCTTTTCCTTATGTCACCATACAGCATTCATCAAAACCAAGAAATTAACCTTGGTGAAATGCTATTAACTAAAGTACAGAACTCACTTGGATGTACCAGTATTTGCACTAATGCTTTTTCTGATCCAGGATCCCACATGGCATTTAGTCGTCATGTCTCCTAGGTCTCCTCCCATCTGGGTCACTTCCACGGTCTCTCCTTATCTTTCATGGCCTTGACACTTTGAAGAGTACAGGTCAGTTATTCTGTAGAATGTCCCTCAATTTGGGTTTACCTGATGTTTTCTCATGATAAGATTGAGGTTAAACATCACTGAGAAGAAAACCATAGAAGCAATGTGTCCTTTTCAGTGCATGCTATCAGGAGATGTGTGCTGACTATAAGCACTGCTTGCGATGTTAACCTTCATTACTTGGGTGGTATCTGCCGGGTTTCTCCGCTGTAGACTTACTATCACCCCCTTGGTAAGTACGAAATATTTTAGGATTACGCAGTTGTCTTGTTTCTACTTAAACTTTTGCCTACTGATTCTGGCATTCATCGATGGATCCTGTCGGCAGCAGTTCCTGCCGGGGTGTCCTAATAGTGATTTTCTATTTCCCTCATTTCTTCTACATTCATCAATGGGAATTCTTCTGAAAACCAAAACCGCTACCATTTGTTTTGCTGCTGAAGCTGTCCCAGCGGGAGCTCCTTCACGTCAGCTCCTGGTTCTTTCAACACCTGACGTGCCCATCATTTTGCTGCTGCTGTTATTGCTACCCCTCCCTCCTTTCCAGCACCACAAGGCAGCCCTAGAGAATGACTCTTAGAAACCAAGATCTGAACTCTCGCTGTGTTCATTACACATGGATGTCACTGCTTCTAGCCCCTCTCAGCAGACTGAGCTAGGAGTCACATATATCTACACACACACACACTAAGTCATGCATACACACATCTATATTTATTTCTGTGTCCACTTATCGGTATATATCTTTTAAAAGGTCAACCAGTATATGGGAGAAAAATGGAATGCAGACTAGGACAAATGTACCTAACTCTATTTCAAATGAATCACATAACTATACTGAAGGGGAAGGGGAAGGAGCTAATCTAAGAAACTTTGGAAAAGAGCGTTTTGACTGGACACTTTAAGGCTAAAGATAAAAAGAACTGTACGTGCTCAAACACTGTTCTCTAGCTGGTAAATTCGTTTCTCACGGGGGTGTGGTTAGGAATTCTGAAAAAAAAAAAAAAAGGTTCACAGCTTCTTGTGAAAAATTGGAAAGTCAGCCAGCATTAGGCCCACATATCTTTGTAATGAGGCAACAATGTACTAGAGCTGAGTGGTGTTCACCCCAGTTCCCCCTTGCCCTCCACTCACTGCTGTCTTCACTCACTCACTCACTCACTCATTCATTCACTTTAACAGCCCAGTCTCTGTAGGCTTTCGAGTTTGTGACCCTTGGACTAATCCAACTCCTGAGTCTCACAGATCAAATGACATTAAGTGACTTACCCAAGGTTGTGCAGTGGCTCAGTGGCAGAGAAGCGACCAGAACTCAGATCTCTTCCCTCCAAGCTCAGCCTCTGTCCCTCTCCACCCTCAGAAGCACAAGAGCCTGAAAACCTTGGCTAACTACCTCTGCGCATAAGGCCCACCATCTTTCCAGACAGAGGGTGGCTCCCAGGGCTGGAAACCAAGCACTCCCAGGATGGGACTGAGGTTCTGGCAAGGGGAAGGCTGGGAGAGGACCAAGGAGCTGGTTACCCAGGAGGTCCCCGGAGCAGGTGGAGAAGAGAGGTCCCCCACTGGAGCCACCATGCACAGCACACGTGGTCTGAAGCATCACTGGTGTGTCATCCACCTGCACCACAGCTGACAGGATGCCTGAGGTCACCGAGGGCCCGCAGGCCTGGCCAAAGACACCGAAGCCCACCACACTGACAGCCTCGCCTGCCAGGGAGGGAAGAAGGGTTAAGCTGGGGAGCCTCCTCTGTCTGGCAGGACTCACACATTCCCCAACCCCCTCCCTGGCCACTCCAAATTTCCAAACCCTCTCTGCCATTTGAGTTTCTGCTCAGATACTCTTGCCTCCATGAGAACTTTCCCCAGGCCCCCCACAGGAACAGGCCAGGACCTCCACTGAGCTCCCAGCACTGTATCTGCTCAACCACTTCTCTTCAGCATCAGGCTGTTCTCCAGCCCTCATTCCCCTGCTGGACTGGGTAGTCACTTTTTAGAATTCCCAGCACCTAGCCAGGGGCTCAATAAATGTTTGTGAAATTAACACCCACCTCCTGAGACTAAGAAGTCTCAAAGGGGGCACCACCTTCCTTCACCAAGTGCTTTACAGACAATATCTCACCCATTCCTCACAAGGCCCAGGAGTAGGGAGCATTATCCCCATTTTACAGATGTGGAAACTGAGGCAGAGTTCACTAAGTTGCCTAAGGACACGGGGCTAATAAGTGGCAGAAGATGCGAAAGCAGAGAGCTTGTAATCCTTGTTATTATGTTATAGCATACGACATCCACAAAGCGAGACCTCTGGTACTTCTGTGGCAGCATCACAAAGCCTTTTACTCAAATCATGCCATTGGAGCCTCAAAAGTACACATCTCTCAGACCAGCCTGCAGTGTTATAAGGAGACCCCAAGGCTCAACACACTACACTGCTGTGGGGCCTCAGGAAAAAGGCGTGCCTTACCCTTCGCTGGGAATTCCACATGCCCCCCAGGACGTTAGGCATGCTGGGCGTGAGCAGGGAGGCCTCCAAGAGCAACTCCGGCCAAAGCACTGTAACCAGGATGTAACAAGGTGCCAGCCTGACTCATTACTCCAGCAGGGGTGGGGAAGGTAGCTGACCTGTGGGACTGGCCCCTGATCTGCAGGGTTAGAGCGCCCAACACTGACTTTCCTTCCTGAGGTTCACCCCAGACCAGAGAACCCCTCTGTCCTTTACCTTCATGGAAATGCTCAGCGGGCACAGGTACAGGGACACCATCTAGATCCTCCTCCAGGCTCACCACTGCTATATCATAGGGAGATGTCTCCTGGGTGGCAAATACCACATGTCCCCAGATTACGGCGCTCCTGGGAACAAGGAAAACAAAATGACAGGCTAGCTTTCCAAACGCTCAGCACGGGGAGGAAGCAAAATAATGAGAGTGACAGTAAAAGTCATGAACTTGGGACTCAAAAGATTTGGTGTCAGCCCTGAAACATACCAGCATGCAACTCTGGGCACATCCACAGTGGAACTTCCAAACATGCTCTACCAACTGCAGGGTACTGCTGTGTAAAGCTTCCGGTGCCTCACCGTCATCACAAACACCTGACACCTAGGGGGCACTGTGGGCCAGGCCTGGTGTTAATGTTCCATGGACATCATTTCATTTAGTCCTCACAGCTGCCCTATGAACTAGGCACTGGTATTATCTCCATTTTGGATGGTGCATTTGAGGCCCAGAGAGGTTGAGTAATTTCTCAAGGTCACATAGTTAGTGGCAGGAGCCAGGGCAAACATTCTCAGCATTTTCCTTTACTGCCTCATTTGATACCAACAATCCTGTCAGGTGGGGGGGCAGACATGATACGATTTCATCCCTCTGGGTCCCTGTTTACATAAATGCCAGCACTTCTATAACTCTTACTACGTGGCAGGCTGTTCCAAGACTTTACATGTCATGGGAAAGCAGCTTAGACAGATTCAGCAAATTGCCCAAGATTACACAGGGGCTTCCTACTACACACTCTGCAGGGGTAGCTTCCAGCAGACCTGTTGCGTTCCCTAGAACCAAGAGTATGTGGGGGTAGGTGGAGGGGTGAGGAATTGGGGACCACACACAGAGGAAAATTCTCATCATCAGTCTTCCCTATAAAGTCATGGCTGTCCGGGTGGCTGCCAAAGGGGACTCTATGGCAAAGCCGGGCTGGATTAACCTCAGGAGTTCAATAGAGGCATTTGGAAAGGTCTGGGCTGAGAGGCTGAGCCAGGGACAGAACAACAGGCATTAACACCAAGGAGCATTAACACCAAGGCGCAAACACCAAGTGTTTGCTTTGGCCTAAGTCAAGCACCTGGGACTACAGAAGAAACAGAACATGTATTAGAAAACCAAGCCAGGAAGCCAAGGCTGCTGTCTCCACTGTCACAGCAAGTCAAAGTAAAGGAGGGTAAGAGTGCTCACCCTGCAGAGAGGGAACAAATGACTGTCTGAAGTCCCAACCTGGCTGCCAAGAGCACTCAATGATTGTTCAAAATATACTTGCCTGGCCCCCACTCCCACATTCTAATTAGGTGGAACCACGTATCTGTTCATTTTGATCCAGAAGGGAAGTTCTGGTTAAGATCTAAGAGATAAATCAAGTAAGAGTAACAGGCTCCTCTCCTAACCCAGGAGGGTAGCATCCTGGGCCCCTGGGGCTTCACTACGGCATTCAGGGGAAAGAGGGCAGGGTTAGGAAGACTCTGTTCAAGGGCCTCCGGTGTGTGGGTGCAAGGATGAGACAGAGAAGTTGCCCAGAAGGAATTCAGACTGGGAGGGGGAGCTCAAAGATGCCTAGCCAGGGATGCTGGACCACCCCACAGTTCCCCAGAGTTGCTTGTCTTCTTGCCCAAGCCCCATTCACCCCTTGCCAGGAGGTCCAGAACCCCCTACTCTGGGGTTCTGGGTGCCAAGGATGAGGGGAGGGTCCCAGGTCTCTAACCACACTGCATCACCAAGCATTGAGCCTGAGACCAGAAGGCCTCCATAATCCTCAGGATTATGACCTGAGACCTGGGATCCAGATATGACAGCTGGTGAGGGAGTGGAGTGGGGGCAACCTTGTGGGCCTTACTTGGGGGTGGTGGAGCGCACCAGGACCTTGGCCGCCTCCCGAGGGGCCACATGCCGACAGGTCACCACGAGGCGGGGTGCCACGGCCACTCCGGAGCCCCAAACGGAACCGCACTCCACCAGCACGGCCGCAGCTGCCCAGGGGGGTCCGGGGTCTCGGAGGGGCAGGCCCCACGGGGAGCCCATCTCATGTGGTAGGAAGGCGGCCAGGGCGGCGGCGCCGGGGTGCAGGCGGCAGAGGGCCGCTCGGGCGGCGCAGAGGAGAGGGGCGGCGGCGCAGAGCAGCGTGAGGCCCACCCACTCGCGGGCCTTCCAGCAGAGGGGCGCCGCCACCAGCGCCACCAGCGCCCCCGCAGGTCGCGCCTCGAACACGCCGCCACCCTCGGTGCCTGGCAGGCAGCGCGCGTCGGTGAGCAGCAGAGGGCCGGCCGAGTTGCTGAGGACGCCGCAGCTGAGCGTGTTGAGAAAGATGTCGGGGCAGAAGGCCCCGAACGGGGAGCCGCAGGCCACCAGCGGCTCACCCTTGGGCACAGCCCCGAGAGGCGCCACGGCCAATACCGGCCCGCGCTCCTCCGCCTCCGCCTCCTTCTCCGGGTCCGGCCGCACGCGCAGCAGAGCGAACCAGCCCAGCGCTCTCAGCTGGTCTTCCTCCTCCTCCTCCGACACCTCGTCGTCCGGTGCGGCGCTCGCGAAGCTCCACTGCTTGGCCGCCTCGCCGCCGAAGAGGCGCGCGAAGTGGCCCCGGAAGGCCGGGCAGCTCAACAGCAGCAGCAGCTCGGCGGGGCGGGGGGGCTGCAGCGGCCGTCCGCGGAACCGGGCGGGCGGGCCGGGCTCCAGGCCGGCGCACTGGGGCGTGCACAGCCCCGGGCGGCCCCTCTCCGCGCGGCCTGCCGGACTCGCGGCCGTTGGGCCCCACTGCACGTGCAGGCGCAGGTCGTCGCCGCAACTGTCGCCGGGCAGGAAGACGGCGCCGGCCGCGGTCAGCGCCCCGCTGCCGGCCCTCAGGAAGGGGGTGAAGATGCCCCCGTGGCACAGCACCAGGCCCAGGCGGCGGCTCAGGATCACCCCGCTGCAGCTCCACGAGCCCGCCTCGGGCTGCCCAGCCCGGGTGGCGCTCACCACGCAGCCCGCCTGCTCGGCCGCCCTCATGGCTGGCCCCCACTGCCGCCCCATGGCCTCGGGGACGGCACACCAGGGGCTTCCCGGGGAACAAGCGAGCGAGCAAGGACCGCGGCCGGCACCAGCTGACCCCACGTAGCGCCACCCAAAGCTGGCAGCGAGAAGCGCAGGCACTATCCCAGGTCTTCCTCTTCCGGCCGGATTGGCTAAGCCCCAACTGGCCCGGCCCGATTGGCTGGGCTAGGGGCCGAGCCCTGATTGGCTGCCGAGGCTGACCCCGCCTTTCCGCGCCCTAGATGGTTCAGGTCACCTGTGCGACGTTGAGGGCGAAGCGGGACTGGAGGAAGAGATACGGGAGGGTGACAGGAATATGGCTTTACTGGGAGATAGGGGCGTTCTGGTCCCTCGGAGCCTAGTCTCGTCTCTGTTCGCTGAGCTTCAGGAAAGGGAACAGAAATGCGCCCTGAGGTGGCTAGACTTGCCCAGGCCTTGCCAGGACCTGTCAGTATCTGCCCAGGTGTAGGAGACATCTGACCTCTGATCCCTGGGATAAGACGGGCAAAGAAGCCGTTCAGGGGATTTCCCTGGTGTCGCAGAGGTTAAGAATCTACCTGCCAATGCAGGGGACACGGGTTCGAGCCCTGGTCCGGGAAGATCCCACCTGCCGCGGAGCAACTATGCCTGTGCGCCATAACTACTGAGCCTGCGCTCTGGAGCCTGCGAGCCACAACTACTCAGCCCACGTGCCACAACTACTGAGCCCGCTCGCCTAGAGCCCGTGCTCCGCAACAAGAGAAGCCACCGCAATGAGAAGCCCGCGCACCGCAACGAAGGGTAGCCCCTGCTCGCAGCAACTCAAGAAAGCCCGCGTGCAGCAACAAAGACCCGACACAGCCAATAATTAATTAATTAATAATTATAAAAAAGCTGTTCAGTATTTTGAAACTTTGTAAGTAAACCGTACAGTAATCCACTAGGGGGGATAATGGAGCTCGTAAGATTACACCTCTGGTCTTCTGATGCCAAAGCCACACCCTACATAACTCATGGAAACTGGATTTGCTCCAAAAATTGCATTTTAAAACTATGATAAACAGTAGCTGAAGTCAAAGTTTTAAATTACACAACCCTATAGTTTGCATTATGCACATTTCATATAATGATTTATAACCATCAGCCAGGATTTATCTAGATCAGGGGTCACTTTTTCTGTAGAAGGCCAGAGTGTAAATAAATAGCTTAGGTTTTGTGGGCCATACCTTCTTTGTCCTAAATACTCAGCTCTGCTGTTGTAGCATGCAAAAGCTAAAGAAATGGGGTGGCTGTGTTCCAATAAAATTTTACTTATGGGCCCTGAAATTTGAATTTTATATAATTGTGGCATGTCACAAGATTTCATTCTTTTTTTTTAATTTTTCTCACAGGCCATACAGAAAACAGGCAGCAGGCCAGATCTGGACCATGAGCTGTAGTTTGCCATCCCTGCTCTACCCTGACATAAAACATCCTTACTTTTCCAATGAAGTCACCCTGAGGACAGAGGAACATGAACAAGTATGTTTTGGGGGGCTGCAGGATATCCCTGAAGCAGTCACCACAAGCTAGACATTTTATGAAGGTCTATCACAATGTCAACTAAAGTAATTTTAATAAGATTATTTTAATACGTATTTATGTCAGCATTAATGAAAATATTCAATTACTACTTAAATTACATAGCCTTTCTGCCTCAAAATTTTGAATAAACTAACACTGCTTGGTGTATCCCAAGCACAACACAAGGTAATGCTCAATGCTCCCAGTGACACAAACCTGTTTGAGAAAGGAGAATGATGATCCATTATAGCATGAGGCAGGACTGAAATCAGCAGTCTTCCTATAGCAGGTACTGTCTTCTTTTGGTTCTGACATAGAAGATGGCTTGATCGCAGTAAAACCTATTAACTATCCAACTTCCTAGCAATTGCTTCTCTCTCTCTGGAGTCCAGTGATTCTCCCTTAATGACGCCCAAGCCTCCAGCATGAACTGTTTGCATGTTTTTCTGTTTACGGCACATCACAGTGGAGTCCCAAGTCACAGTCAACAGCCAAGGTGAGACCCCCTAGTGCTGGGCTCATTGACTCAGCCTTTAATTTTCATGTACTGCTCTGACTCAAATGACACAAACCCATATAAGCGTAAAACCCATGGCATCATTCCACTGTGTTAGTTTCAATCTCGATGCCTCCAGTAATTTAATACTCAGTCAAAAAAGAACCTGGTGCATTTTGCTTCCCATTCTGTTTTATTCCAGTACTTTAGTTTTAGAACCTCATTTGGGTTTTTTAAAAGCAAAGCTTCCTACAAGCCTAGTAAATGCACAAGCACAGGTTTCATTACTTCTATTTTGTCAAATGTAGCATTCAACCGGATTCTCTCCAATTTTGTATCAAATGATGAAACACAGCTAAACTGGACCCAGTCCTTGCTAGCATGTTAACAGATTTTGTTCAAAAGTCTGCCATGTCCTTCCTGTTGCATAAATGATCACCAGTCCTGGGACCACTGCATGTTCCAAGGCTCTCAAACGGTACTAAATTTATTACTTCCAGTGGAATGTGTAAATTGGCCTGGCCTTTCCACCCATACCCCACGCCCCCCCGTAGCAAAGTCTGTCTCTCACACCCGTTGTAAATATTTCTTCCCATAAGTATGGAAGAACTTTTGCCACACCCCCCACAACAAATGTCATGCTATGTTCATACTCAGAACAAACCAATGCCAAAAAAAGGAGCAAGATACCAAATTTGTTTTAACTTTTTATTAAAACGCTTAGGATACAGATTGACTTTCTTTTGTAAATGACTGTTTTACTTTTCCTGAAATAGGACATATATGCACTCTGATAAAACAGAATGAAAAGTCTCAATTCATGGGAGTTCCAGTACAAAGCTCTGACCCTAACTGTCGAGCCAAGTTCCTCACAGCGGCTTCTTTCCTCTATATTATTTCTGTGGGACAAGAAATAGACTGCTGCCACTTGATTTTTCAATCCCGACTCTTTCTCCAGTGGCCAAAATAAACCACCTTCACAAAGAGCTGCCCTGTGTAGAATCCAGTTTTCTAGCTTGCTAAAAAGTGATTAGGGACAAATATAAAAAAAAAAAACCAAAAACCAGAAAACTAACACTGAAGCAATCATACCTCTCGTATCTCTGGAGAGAGAAGTATGGGTTACCTTTAGCCAAAGAAAATTAGAAGTATGCAAGTTAACTACCTAGTTCATTCACTGTTAGCTAGATTTGTTCACTTAAGGCTTTAACCCCGTTCCAAACCAGCTATGCTTGCTAATAAATGAAAGGCATGCTCTTCCCAGCTTTATACTTCACTGAGCCTCTGCATTTGGTACCTAGCAGTGAAAAAGCATGCTTTCCCAACAGGTGAGTACTGAAGAATGGGAAACATTCTTCAGTACTCACGTGGGAAATCCAACTAAAGAACGATACTCTCTCACCCCAGGAATACATTATCCACACCTTCCCCGCCCTCATATTAGAAGCAACAATCCACTGAATTTAGTTCAGGCCTCTGCAAATACACCTCAGAATTACAATTTTCAGTTTTGAGGAAAATACCTCTTATCTTTCATTAAAGGAAAAATGAATGAAGATATCCTCCCACATGGAGACCATCTCCTATCCCTTCATCCTTTATTACAAGCGTAAAATATTGGTTAGGATCATGATAATCCAATTTCACACGTGGCATTAGGAAAATGGAATGCTATAAAAATAATCCTCATCACACTACTGGGGATGCTGAGGCTTTTATACCAGGTGCTTACTGACAAGTGATGCTGGCCCAAAAGAACAGCTCAACACAAAGTTCTTGGCTTAGAGTTTCCCCAGATTATTTCTGGACTGGAGAAAGGCAATTTCCTAACACCCCCCCACCCCCCCCCAAAAAATCTGGAAAAGCTACAGATGTTAACCTTTAACATCAAAAATAAGTTGATAACCAATTTAAAAAAATAGAGCTCATGAAGAGTCCAATAAAGAAACCAAATTCTGCAAGTGGAAATTTTAAAGCCCAATGAATGAATCTTTCCTAGATTCAAACAAATGCTACAATACCAGATTTTTAAGTTCTCAACTCACAGAATTAAGAGCCCTTAAGCTGTTAACTTCATCCTGTGTGACTCTCCTATTCAGAAAAATTTCCCCTAGAATCTGCAAAAATGGCTGAGACACACCTGCAGTGTGTGACAACAAGGGATGTGTTCTCAAGTCTTTCATGAGGCAAAAGTCACTTTTACGACTGAAAATGAAAAAGGTGCTACAGAGGGAAATGAAATTTCACAACTACATAAAAGTAAAGACTGGCTAAAATTTGTAACTTTATGAGTAAAAATAATAACAACCCACTCTACAATTAACTCCTCCGCAGTGAACAATCTGCTATGCATGCTGGGATGAGGAATGACGGTAGCCTGAGACTGTGGGAACTGGCCTTAACTGCACGGCCGGGGTTCTGCCCTTTCCTAGTGCTCTGTGCACAAGGTGGTGCCACCTACTACAAGGCAGTTAGTGAGAGGGGAGCCTCTCTCACCAGCCTGCTGTTCATTTGACTGAGCTCTGGCCTCCAACGTGTATCTGTGCATAATTTTATGAAGTATCTAAATGCCATTCACTAGTTAAAAAAAAAAAAAGCAAACTCTGGACCAAGTAAATTGTGAACTCAAAAAGTTATTAGGAGGGTCACCAATTACACTAATAACACTTTCTTTAAAAAATAGAATCACTTTCTTTTGAAATCAACCACAGTGGTGAGACGTGTTTTTCTTTCCAGGTGCTCCATGATGGCACACAGCTCTACCTGGCAAATCCTGCCACTTCCAAGTCCCGGGGTGCTGACCTGCACCAGCACGTGGGGCAGCGTTACCTCCCAACAGTGTGGAGAAGAGCACATGTCACCACTGGGCGATGAGAGAGCTGACAGAGACTCTTGGCTTCTCAACGCCAGACATGGTTGGAGAGCTTTCCTTGTTCTATTAGAAAAGTTCATGAGGAAGCTGTGAATAGGATCAGTCCAGAGAAGTAACACTCTTTTATTTTCACTGTCCAAACATCAGTCAATATACTGGGAGAGCCAACGGAAGCCCTCGCCATAGCCTTGCCTCTTGAGCACACTGCACATGAACACTTCCATAGGGCGGGCATTCAGCTCCTTCAGGGTCACATTCCCCTAGGGGAGGCAAAATCAAGAAAGGTCCGTTAGCGTCTCCAGGTGGAAAAGCTTGAAAGGGTGACAACAAAAATCACTTTCTCTTTCCCTCAAAAGCATATCTGAGTAGGGATTAATTACAGAAATGTGGTCAAGGCCATTGGGGTTTGTGCTTTCAGGACAGATAAGCAGCCCAGTCCTATTACCAGGTTCTCCCGCTCATTGTGAAGAGCCTTTGCTTTGAACACACCAACATGCATCTGGAAAGCTATGGCAGCAAACCAAGAAAAAGGCCACTGGGACCCACAGAACCAGCAGGCTCTTTCATGGACAAAAGAAATCCAGGACTCCTTAGACATAAGGACATCCTCATTAACACAAGCATTCAGAAATATATACTAATGACAGGTTACATTAAGAAAATTAAAAATTCATGTGCCTGTAAGAGGGAAAACTTAATTAATTAAAGGAAGCATTTCTAGAAAGAACTAGATAACCAAGAAGAAGCAAGACTAAGGAGCCATGCAAAAAAGTCAGGAAGTTAAAGATCCCAGAAAAGGACATTTAAAAAAATTAAATATGCCAAAACCCCAAGCCCAAAAGACCAGGCTTCCTGTAATTATGGCTGTTCTAGATTTTTCTCTCCCAAGCATACTTTTCTGCAACAGCGTTCTCCTTCCTACTGGAAACAGCATAACCTACTGACCTGGAAGACTTGGGTTCTATTCCTGATTCCATCACTGACTTGCTGTGTAGACCTGATCCAATAACTCTCAGAGTTTCCTCATCTTCAAAGTAGAGGTAACAGTCCTACCTCTTTCAGCAAGGAGCACTGAGGATAACCCAGTGCTCTGATTTCAATGCTTGGAAAGTGATATAAATGATCACTCCTCATAATCTGAAATTTCCAGTGGAAAAAAATTTCTGGCTAAGGGGGGCTTTCAAAATTGATTTCTCAGAACTGGATTTGAAAGACAGAAAATTCTTAAAATGACAAGTTTGCTTTTTCTACCATTTCCTTCATCCTTATATACCCGAGGAAACTCTCATTAGAAAACAGTTAAAAAAAGAACATGCTCCTGCCTTGAGAGAGTCTAAAATCACCTCTAGTTAAACAAATACTAAGCCCAGTTACTTTTGAAAGACAAGTAAAATCTAGATAGCACAACATGAATGTTTCACAAGCTGTGAATTTCCTTTATAATATGTCCCCTGAAGATTCTTCTCTTGCCTTTCCTGTGGTCTGTCCATAAAGCCCAAATATCTCACGCAGTTTTTCTTCACTGATTGCATCTGTTCTGTCAATTTTGTTACCCAAGATGAGGATTGGCACGTTGGATATTGTTTCATCAGTCATTAAAGCCTAAAGACAAGATAAAAAATGGGTTGAGTGAGGAATCTATAAAAGCCCACCAAATAATGAAAACAACTTTGACTTTCACTTGTCTATAAGGTATCAAATGTAAAGTGAAAATCTGACCATATTTATACCTGAGTGATTAACTAAAAGTTAATCTTGACATTATAGCCCCTAAAAATTACCTTGACATTAGTTAGAAATCCCCTAACAGCTTCAAAACAATTATAATGTAAAGCTGTGTCTATTTGCAAGGCAGCAAAACTGCCCAACCTTAACTCTGAGCTAAATCACTCAGCCACAAGCCATCCTCAGCTCTCCCCTGAGCACTGTCCTAGAAGAACAAAGCTCTGGCTACAGAGCCTCAAAGATGACTACCAGAGTCCCCAGATATACACTAGATGTCCCATGTGCACAAAGCACTATCTCCGACACTGAGAGGAAGACAAAAGGAAAGGTAAGGGGCTTCCCTGGTGGCACAGTGGTTGAGAATTTGCCTGCCAATGCAGGGGACACGGGTTCGAGCCCTGGTCTGGGAAGATCCCACATGCCACGGAGCAACTGGGTCTGTGAGCCACAACTACTGAGCCTGCGCATCTAGAGCCTGTGCTCCGCAACGAGAGAGGCTGCGATAGTGAGAGGCCCGCGCACTGCGATGAAGAGTGGCCCCTGCTTGCCGCAACTAGAGAAAGCCCTCGCACAGAAACGAAGACCCAACACAGCCATAAATAAATAAATAAAATTTTAAAAAAAAGGAAAGGTAAGACATATCCCTGGCTCAAGAAATCCTCACTCTATATTCATCTGTCAGCAAAGCAAGGCAAGTGGATGATTAAGTGTTGCAATGAATAGGAAGAGAATATAAATATTAAAAGACATTCAGGAAAATAAAATGGCAATGTGGGCTTGAGGAAAGTCTTAGTGAAGATGTGGAAACTAAACTGGACTCTGAAGGAGGGGCAGCGTGTGGACAGGCAGAATCCAAAGAAGGAAGAATATAAGCAATGGCTTTACGGCAGGAAAAGAATTCAGGAAGCCACATGGAGTATCACCTGGCTGGATTAAAGCATTTATGGTGACATGTGTTGACAGAGTAAATGGGTTGGGAAGGGATGACAAGCATTATAGTGCCAGTCTGAGAAGTCAGCTACAATAGATCCCAAAGACCCCCAATCCAGAAATTATTAGATAGAATCTACACTTTTAGTACAATGAATTTGCAAATAGTATCTACCTGTGGTGCTCAGGTAAGGGATGATGATCTAACCTAAGCTAGCAGCATGTAATGAATAGTGCAGCAGGCATTCTGGAGAAAAAAGTGAAGAGACTGATATCTAAATGATAAGACAGATAACACAGGAGTCGAAGCTGGCAGAGATTTCAAGCCTGGGAATCTATTTCACTGACAGGAAAAGCTAGGAAAGAAGAGCAGAGTTGAAGAGAAACCTACTTTGAACATCTCAAGTTCCAGGAAACGTTATACAAAATCAGAGTAAGAATGTCATTCATTCATTAAATACTAACAAAGTGCGTATTATGTGCCCGAGGCTTTACTAGGTACAGGGGTTTCACAAAGAAATAAGACAAGGTCCCTACCATCTAAGTTCACAGTCTGATGGGAGAGTCCTAAAAGAAAATCAGCAAAGACAACAGACACTGATAAGATGGAGAGTTTAACAGTCTGAGAGGTCAGAGAAGGCTTCCCAGAAGCAGTCATACCTGAACTCTGAAATCTCTTAAAAGGACATTTAGAAATTTACCAGCAAAATGGGGTAAGGGTCAGGTGAGAAAACCAGGCAGAGACAGTTACTTCTGCATACGCAAGGGAAAACAAGTTGTTATCTAAGTTTGGAATGTAGATCAAGGTAGGCAATAGAGAGAAAAGCTGAAGAAATAAACGAGGAAAGATCATGAAAGATCTTATGTGCTAAGCAAAAGATCTGTGGATTTTATCACCAAAGTGGTAAGAGACCTATTCAAGAATATTAAGTAGGGCAAAGACAAGTCTGAGTAAGTTCCTTCCAGCATTAGTATATGGCAGGGTGGTGGTGGAATCTACAGTAATTCACTGCATGTCCACGTAGATGAGGGAAAATGAACAGTTCCATTCTGGGAGAACAGAAATGGTAGGTAGAGTTTCTAATAAGTAGCATTATGTATGAGGCTGCAGCACAAGAGAGGTTTAAACAAGAGAAATCCATCTGGGAGTCACTGGCATGTGGGTTGCAGATGAAGGAATGGGAGAAGCCTGGACCAGCCTGGGAAAGCACCAAGATTTAAGGGCTAAGCAGGGGAATGGGTGCTTGTGAAAGAGTCTGAGAAGTATCAGCCAGAGAGAAAGCACCAAAACCAAGAATGTAAAGGGGAATTTAGAGAGAGAATGACCAGTGCCAAGGGGTCAAGTAAGGGAAGGACTGCCCTGTAGGCGATTCTCCATGAGACTAGAGCTTCAGATTCAACAAACATACTTAAACCTGAGGTTCAAATTGCCAGGAACAAAAATGCAGAGAGAGAGTTGTAAATCAAAGAGAAAGACTAAGGCACCGGGTAACACAGTAGGCATTACAAAGGCAACATTACAGAAATTATCAAGCCAAGAAAATGCAATGTTGAGAAAGGAAGAAACTTGAGGTGAGTCCTAGTTAGTATCAAACACTGCACGTGACTGAAACTGAAGACAGAACAGACTATTAAGGTCTGACAAGTCACTCAGTGCAAGAGTGGGCAGGCACAACCTGAGAACACAGATTCAAAAACGCAAAGAACACTAATATCTCCTTTAAGGTTTCACTATGCCAACACTTCATAAACAGTGAACATATGTGCTATGTGAAAGGGAAAGACGTTAATTATGCTGGGAAAACAGGCATTAACTGAGGAGTGTCCTGAGCAAACTGCACAAAGAGTCACCCTATGATAGATATAAGCAAAGTTAATTTACTCGTGTTCAAGCCAAGTTTCCTCAGAACATCGAAAAGCAATGTCTTAGATTTTAAAACACTTTCTTCCTGCAACTAGGACTTTTACCAAATGTTAACTGGAATGATTAAGTATTAGCACTACTGAGCTGTATTTCTTAAACAGAGGCCAAGAAAGGAAAAAATATAAACATACATTAAGCTCAACTTTGGATTCCATGAGTCGAGGATGATCTGCACAGTCCACCAGAAAGACAATCCCATTAATTGCGGGGAGATAATTTTTCCAAACTCGACGGGCTAAAAGACAAAGTTTGCAGTTACATCAATTTAAAAACGTATGTACTGAAAATGAATAACCTAATGGTCTATAAAGTAGACAAATCCTGGCCAGGTTTCAATAGCATTAGACTCTGTATAGATTCTCCAAACCCTAGCCAATATTAAGTCAGAACAGAGGATATAAACTGATGGTCCATGAACTGAATCTGATTTTTTAAAATCTGAAAATCAGGGTTTTCTGCCTGACTTTCTGAAAAAGTGCAACATCTGGCAATCCCATGCCTATCTATCCACATGCCGGATGGATAATAATCAGCTGGAACTGAGTGGTGGCTACCCCTTTAGATGAGGTCTCAGTTCTTCAGTCTGAAAAAGTTACCACCACTCCCTACTTACTCCCAATTTCACTCACTTAAATGACCTACCTCACCCCTGGAGCCATTTTAGTTTGCAACCTCTGAGTTAAAATATCAGGATGCAAATTACTTTTCAATGTAACTTTCGTCCCAGGTAACCAATGTGTTCCTAAGTAACCAATGTGTAAGCGTACTGACACATTCATCCACACAGCCCATAGGGAGACTAGGCTTGACAGGTGGTTGAAGTTCCCAGGCCAATTACCTCAGTTTCCTTATTTAACCCAGTGTGCCCTATAAATTTTATTTTTTTGTTTATGACATGAAATGATAATGGTCTGGGAAGTAATGCTTTAATTGTATTATAATTTCTAAGCCATTCGTTTCTGGTCCTTTCAATGGGATGATTAAGGAAGCATCTCTCGGTGTCTAAAATCATCAAACATTTAACAATGGTTACCTCTGAAGAGTGGGACTGGGAAGGGGAGGTTGGGGAATTTCACTTTTACCTCCCATATTTGAATACTGATTGTATACTGAATTTGTGACATTGATCCTGGACTACTTGCATAAGTTAAAATTTTTAAGTTATACCAAAAAAAAGGAAACCTCCAAATGTATAGCATTTTAGTAATTTGTGTAAAATGGTGGCTAGGTTATCATGAAAAAGTGTTTCTGTTAAGTAAATTTTCCTCAAACAAAACAGAACTATGTACAGATTTTTCTTGACTAACAATGGGGTTATGTCCCGATAAATCGATCGTAAATTGAAAATCTCATAAGTTGAAAATGCATTTAATACACCTACCAAACAGAGCTTAGCCCAGCCTACCTTAAAAGTGCTCAGAACACTTACATCAGCCTACAGTTGGGCAAAATCATCAAACACAAAACCTATTTTATAATGTGTTGAATCTCTCATGTAATTTATTGAACATTGTACTGAAAGTGGAAAAGAGAATGGTTGCATTGGTGCAGAATGGTTGTAAGTATATCAGTTGTTTACCCTCAGGATCACATGGCTGACTGGGAACTGCCCAGCATGATGAGAGACTATGTATGGTACAATACCATACGTGGCTAGCCTGGAAAAAGATCAAAATTCAAAATCTGAAGTACAGTTTCTACTGAATACGTATCACTTTTGCATCACGATAAAGTCAAAAAATCTTAAGTCGAACCATCATTAAGTTGGGGACCATCTGTACAAAAACACATTTCCCTTCTCTATCAAAACCTGAAAGCTAAATTTATCACACCAAATAATACACAATTCCCAGTTCAGGTGTCTAAAAACACCTACTCCTTCTGCATTCTCCAGATGGTCTCAGTTCAGCTTATAACCGTGTTATCTCTGAATTTAAATTTGTAAGCAGTTACAAATACTTTTGAAAGAAGCAGAAAAGAGACCATACACCCATCCCTACCCAAATGGAAATAATACAAGCTCATTAAAGAAAAAAAGGAAACAAGATAATCTATAATCCTCCATCAATACACAGCCACTGCTAATGTTTCTGTGTACTTTCTTTCAATCTTTCTTCTGTATAGGTATTTTATGTGATGGTGCTCATACTACATAAATGATTTTGTAGGATATAAATAATAAATGAATAAAATAAATGTAATTATACGTTAATGAAATCACTGACTATAAAATTATTTGGATCTCTTCTCAGCCTTCTAGCTAAAATTATCTGACTTTACATTTACAATTACCAATATTCTACTTTTTTTAAACTACACTTTAAAAAAAAACTGTATTAGATTCAACCTAATAACATAATGCTCCAAAAGGAGACATCTCAACTCAATTTAATAACAAATGAGTAAACCTGACAGAATCTCAATAGGTTCTTTCTTCTACCTTCCCAGAATATTTATTCCCACATCTTAAATGTTTTACTCCTAAGCCTAGAGTCTTGCCAAATGTAAAGTGGGCATTGATCGGATAAAGATGCCCCATTCTGCATATCTCCAAAACACCTGACAAGAACTGGGAACCAAATGGAGAGCAAGAAGGCAGAAGAAAATGTTCCACCAACGGCCCAAAATGGGGAGAGTATACAAAAAATCAATTCAGATCACGGTGGTCACAAATAGTCACTGTATTATTTTTGCAACTTTTGACAAATTTAAAATTACTTACAAATAACTTAATTTCCTACATACTTTAACTCCATTGAATAACAGATACAAGAAAGACATGATTAAATTCAATATGTGATACTGTAATGGATCTTGCATAAGAGGAAAAATGCTATAAAGGAGATTATTAGAACAAATGACAAAAAAAGGGAATATACACTATAGAGTAGACAAATAAAGCTTCCTGGGTCTGATAATTATTATGATTATATAAGGGAATATTCCTGTTATTAGGAAACGTGCATTAAAGTATTTAAGGAGTAAAAGAACATGATGAACTCACAAAAGGGTCAAGAAAAATAAATATTAACATGTTTTACACAGAGAGGGAGACTAATAAATTTGGGCAAAAGTTATAAAGGAGGGGAGTTCTCTGTATTATTTATGCAACTTTTTGGCAAGTTTGAAATTACTTAAAAATAAGTGAATAAAACAACTTCATTAAGTAAGATCTCAAGCAATTTAAAAGGTATATATGACACACTGCTTTAAAAAAGGGGAACAAAATGAACCAGAAGTCAACTACCCTTCCACTGAACCATCTCTTACCTTGTTCATGCCCACCAAGATCAAAAGTTGTAAAAGTCATTCCAGCAATTGTCAGCTCTTCTGATGCTGAAAAATAAAGGAAGAAAATAAACTTCTCCATCCAACAAGGCCCAACTACCAGTATTCTAATCCAATACAAATGCAAAACCTAATGAAGCTTTCACTATGTAAAGAAAAGGATACAACGGTGAAAACACTCTTAAATAATTCTAAAAAGCCAACAAGTCTCTTTTCCTCCAAGGTGTTTGCTGCTCCTTAGAAGTAGATATGGGAGATGTGTCCCATTGCAGGACTAGTGAGAACAGATAGTGACAAAGTTCCAGAGGTTTAGATTTATGGGTATTTGACCTGAGTGTATACTATAAGGAATTTTTTTTCAAGTAAGCTGTCTTTTGGGGCTTCAGTTAATAACAGAACTGAATCAACTTGGGATTCATCCTACAGCCCTGACACTGACCCTCAAATATCAAAAGGTCACCGGGTATTTTCAAACCTACTCGGATGTAATGTTGGAACATGTTGGCCCAATCTGTCATCTTTGAGCATGTGTAGAAGAGTGGTTTTGCCTGCATTGTCTAAACCCAAGAATACAAGTTTTCCAGATTTCTTGTAGAGTCCTAAAAAAGAAAAAAACAAAAGTTAACATAATTTTCTCTCTACACACCAAAGCCTACTTGTATCAACATTTAAATGGTTACAGGAAATACACATAGTTTGAAACCTATGATATATTTCAAGGAAATGGCTTTACCTAGGAACTGGAGCACACTGCTGAAGCCATTGTAGAGCCACTCAAAGATGAAAGACATTATTAATGCTTACTACCTGTATAAAATAGGAAAGCAGCAAACATTAGCTTTCTGAATGCTAGTATATTTCGGAGAAGTTAACTCTCATTCACTGGCCCTGATGCATGTTTACAGTCCCATGTTTTGGGGCATAAGAAAACAAAGGATTGTGCACTCTGGAGGGAAGTCTCTGGGGTCCTCAGATCTGCACAAACTTCTGGTTTTCTACGTTTCCAATCTATGATACTCAGAACACTAGGAGTTAAAGATACTTTCCTCTTTTGCTGTGTGATTCACTCCTCCAGGCAGCTGCTCATTCGCATTCCCTAGATACACCACTGCTGTCTACCAGTTAGCAAAACTTCTAGGAAATCAGCCCCATCAATAATCTGGATCAAAATGTCACAATGATGCACTAAGTAGAAAATAAGAATAAAGGCATATTAACCTGAATGAAAAGCATATTAACCCATCCTTGCAAACAACTCTAAAAAACAAGGTCACCAAAATCCTACTGGCTGGCACAATTTGCACTGCTCCATTTACCAATGCTATCTCTTCTTAATATTTGTTTAATCCCTCTTATAATATGTATCTCAACTTAAAAAAAGATGATATCACTATAATGGAGAGCCATGAAGAGATAAGAGAATCCGATCATAATGTGAATAATCAACACCTACCTAACCCATTTTACAAATATGGACTTTCTTAAAATAACAATACTCATTCAGGGCATAGAGGTAGGTTCCTAGCCAAGTACATACCTCAATACTGATATTAACACCACTTTTTCTACTGTTTCCCATAAGCCTAGACAAAACAGAAGATGACCCGAAGCTCCTAAAAGGTCTACATACACTGGGGAATAAGCAAGAGGACCTCTGAATGTTAAGAGGGTAGGATCTAGAGCTAATGGTGGGTGTTAAGGTTTCTCAGAGTCAGCATGTCCTGATCACACTGAACTTCTGCCTCAGTATCTCAGATTTGGTGCAGAAAAAAGGATGATCCCCCATTTTCACTCCTCTTCATCAGCAAGAACACCTGAACACAAGGTGGCCAACTGTTATCAAACAAATTTGCTGAAGTTTTGTTTTTAAAAAAAAGTAAACAGGGCTTCCCTGGTGGCGCAGTGGTTGAGAGTCCGCCTGCCGACGCAGGGGACGCGGGTTCGTGCCCCGGTCTGGGAGGATCCCACATGCCGCGAAGCAGCTGGGCCCGTGAGCCATGGCCGCTGAGCCTGCGCGTCTGGAGCCTGTGCTCCGCAACAGGAGAGGCCACAACAGTGAGAGGCCCGTGTACCACACACACACACACAAAAAAAAAAAAGTAAACAGAAGTTTACTGTAAAAGGGTTAGCCACAAAAACCCACCTATATTCTTCATTCAAAGAATGCTAGATGAAGAAGAAATTGAAAAATGGAGACAGTGTGTGTTAATTTTCTTTTTCATCCAATTACTGCGTTTTTTTAAAATCAGGCCTGTGGCCTCACATGTAAACTTTAGGGACTGCTTTAGTGCTTATCTTCTATGGCTCTTACCATAGAAGGGCCAAATGAAGCTTGGGAGTTTGGGTGGGATGGAGACTGAAGGAAAAAGCTTTTATAGAAAGATCCTAGAATTTCCCCGGTGGTCCAGTGGTTAAGACTCCGTACTTCCACTGCAGGGGCACGGGTTCAATCCCTGTTCAGGGAAATTCTGCATGCCGCGCCGTGCGGCCAAAACCAAAAAAGGATACTAAATAAGGGTTTTTTCCCCTCTTCAGTAACATCAAAATATATTTTGGCAGAAAAACCAAATTTAGTATGTTAAATAATAGTTTTGTCCAGAAACCTTGTCTCTACTTTAAGAAGTCCAATGACTTAAATATACTTACAAAGTTCCTGTGCTTAAGTTTCCACTGCAGGTTAAGTAAAAGAACAATGTGCCTCTCCTCTGCAATCCCACCAAACCAGTCATCCTTCCCTATTTTCTCCGTCTACTACTTGGAGAAGCAGGGCTCACCTTTAGAGAGCACCTCTCATTAAGGTCACTCCCAATGATTACGACTTTAAAACCCAACACTTATATATTCATTTATATTACACTGGTTTGCAGTCATTACTTTCTAGATAGTTTGTAAAGTTTTACTACATCATTTTAGAAGTATTCCCAACTAGATAAATTCTCCCAAGGTGACAAGGGGAACAGCCCATTTTAGGGAATTTTTCACGGTTAACTGAACTACTTTGACTTTCCAATTTATTTTCCCTTGACATCCTTGCTTTAAAAGTCCCATAATTCTTCCCTCCAAAATGATCTACGGAAAGTACTTGAAGAAACTCTTCAGGTGATGTTAAAAAATAATAAAACCCCTTACTGGACCCAAAGAGTTGCACTGTATTGTTACCCAAAGTTAAGGAAATGTCTCTGATGGCTCCTCCATCCTTGAGATCTTAGGCTTTGTACCCCCTCGTGAGTAATTTTTCAGTTTATACAGTGCCTGCACATATATCTCATTTCAGCCTCACACCAACCCTATGAGGTAGGAATCCTTAGCCTCATTTAACAAGATGAGGATGCTGATGGTCCTAGATTAGCTAGCTTAACCAAGACTGCTCAGCTGAAAAAGTAACAATGCCAGGACTTAAACCCTCCTCTTTTAATGCCAAAGCCAAAGCTCTTCCTGTTAATATCACATAAAATTCCAATGCAAATCACAAAAATGCTTTAAAAAAACATAAAGCTTCCTTAAACCACCAACTACACAGATAATAACCTGCTGTTTTCTTCCTTACAACTCATCACAACTTCTGAACGATATATTAATAACTAGCATTTTATTCCTTTTCTATCCTTGATCCACTTTACCACCTTATGGCACCTTATGGCAAATTAGACTACAATCTAAGGGCTCTAACTACCAACAAAAGCACTGCCAACGTACCTAAAACTAACATTTGCAAATTTCAGGACTAACTGATTCAAATAAATAAAAAGGAGGAGCACTAGACTGACAATTAACCAATAAAAAATCTATGCATCACTTCTTATACATACTCATTACTTCTTATTCATGCTCAGAGCAACCCCCAGACAGATCTGGGGGTAGCAAGCCGCTGTTTTTTAGCTAAGAAACTCTGTTTGGCTGCAGAGTAAACATCAAAACGCTGTAAAGCCCCCTGTCAAAACCTAAGCAGATGCACCGCGGTAAAGGAGAAAAGACGAGAACAAGGGAGAATACTAACAGAGATTTTTTTCCATGCACTGAAGAGAGAGGGGAAAAAGGGGGAAGTGGAAGAAGAAAACACGGGGTTCGACCCAGGACAGCAGCAGATGATAACACACAGCTGAAGTGGGGGTGGGGAGAGCCCTGGACTAGGAGCCAGGAGATCTGGTTCAAACGCTCACACTTGCTATCTGCGGGGCCTTGGGCAATTCACTGTGCCTCAACGAGCCTTAGTCCCCGAATCTGTAAAATAAAAATAAAATAAAATAAAAAAGGATAATCATCAAGTACTTCAATCCACCCCACCGAGGGCTGAAGCTCATCCGAGACAGGGGATATGAAGCCGATTCGTAAACCAGAGCGCACCGTACCGACAGGAAAACTGTTATCCTGCCCAGCAGCTGCAAAACCCCCGAGCGGAATGCTGATGGACCCGATACCCGAGAGGCCGGCAGGGGACCGAGCAGACCCGGCCAAGCCGGCCCGTCCCCGCCCAGAACGAGTCCCGCGGCCCCACAGAACCGCCTGCGTGTCACTTCCCCCCCCAAAATCCCGCCTGCGCCGGCCTCCGCCCCGACCCTCTCCGCCGGCCACCCCAGCCCCTCCGGCCCCGGCTCCCTCCTTCGCCGCGGTCCCCGACTCACGGCCTAAGGGGCTCCTCCGGCAGCGGCGGGCGGCTTGGACCCTCCCTCAGAGCACAGAGCCCAGAAGCACCCTGTACCGCCACCTACTCGCCGGATATACGTAACACCCCCTCCCCCGGGACTTCCGGGCGCGTGCTCGCCCCCGCCCCTTCGCAGCGTCACGTCGCTCTGACACCCGGTGCCGCCCTACCAGCGACTGGGACTGCGGAGGGGCGGGCCTCAGGCGAGACGAAGACCCTCGGGGGCGGGCCCGACTTGGCCCCGCCTCCTCCCGTAGGGCGTGCAGGAACCGCGAGACGTGGCAGCGCCGTGCCCCGGAGGGTGGGGGCGTCGTCCTGGAGTCTCGCGGGGGACCTAGACGGCTTCAAATCCGACCGAGTGCGTTCTCAGACGCTGGGGGAAAATCAGAAGTGGCGACCGGCAGGTAGGTAGGTTATCGGAAGGAAGAGTTGACCTCAGAGCCCTCGACCTAAGATGGATCCCAGCGAGCTTCTGCGTTAAATCGCAGTTCCCTGGGATAGCCTGTTTTCTAGAAGAACAGCTAATATTTATTGAGTACTTATGTTCGAGTGCACTGAGTACTTTGCAGGCCTCATTTCATTTGACCCTTTCATTACGGCCCTGTGAAGCAGATACTATTGTTATCCCCAGTTTACAAATGAGAACCGAAGTTCAGAATACTGTGGTAACGAAGCCCGAGTTCATACCCTAGGAAGTGGCAAATCACTTCCAAACCAAATCATTGGTTCCTTCACCTGCATTTTCACATTTAATTCTGAGGACAGCCCTATGAGATTGGTATTATTACTCCGATTTTACAGATAAGAAAACTGAGTCAAATGTAAAGATGAATGATGCTTTTGGATGGGAAGACTCTATCATAAAGATCTCAATTTTCTGTAAGTAAAATTACAAATTTAACCTGATTCCTATAAAAGAACTAATAGGATTAATTATTATGTGTGTGTTTTTATTACAGTTTGTTTCCTCTGACAGGTTACGAGACAAACACCCCGTTTACTTGAGTTTTAAAAGGGTATTTCCTTTGCCCCACTTGAATGACCAATAAAGACATAAGTCCAGTTGGCAAAGTGAAAGGGGAGTGTTATGTGTGTGTTTTTTAAACTACCCTGTTTGTTCCTAAAATTCAAATGGAAAAATAAACAACAATAGTCAGAAAACAGGCTCTGAAGAAGCAGAACAATGAGAGGGATCTAGCACTATCAGATATTAAAACATTATAGATCCTCAGTAATTAAAAGTTTGGTAGTAGTGCACAAAAAGGCACACAAACCAATGGAACGAAGTACAGATATAAACTCAAATACATGCAGAAATAAAATTAAAGTGGCACCTGGGTAGGGGGAGGGATAAACTGGGAGATTGGGATTGACATATACACACTACTATATGTAAAATAGATAACTAATATGGACCTACTGTATAGCACAGGGAACTCTACTCAATACTCTGTAATGACCTATATGGGAATAGAATCTAAAAAAGACAGGATACATGTATATATATAACTGATTCACTTTGCTGTACAGCAGAAACACAGCATTGTAAATCAACTATATTCCAATAAAAGTTAATTTTATTTATTTTTTTATTTTTTGCCCACTCTGCGTGGCATGTGGGATCTTAGTTCCCCAGCCAGGGATCGAAGCTGCGCCCCCTGCATCGGAAGCAACGAGTCTTAACCACTGGACCACCGGGGAAGTCCCCAAAAGTTAATTTTAAACAATAAAATTTTAAAAAGATAAAATGGCACCTGGCAACTCCAACAATACTCAGAGGGGGCTGGATAGGCAAGCTCTCCACCTTCCCCCTCCTTTCATCTTGTGGGTCTTCTGCATTGAGTGTGAATCCTGCCCAGACACATTTGAAAGGGGTCAGGCTATGTTCTGAGGCCTCTCACCAGCTTTGACTAAACCAGGGGAACTATGTCCAGAGGGCTTGGAACCCCGGTGTGCACACCTGGAGGCACAAGTTGGCCCCGGTGCAAGTTAATGATGCAAGTTAATGCGTTGGACTACCGGGCCTTGTTAGAAGCCTGGCTGTAAGGTAAGAGGCTTCCAAACCACAAGGATGACTTGGGGGACTCAGGAGGAGGGAGGGAGCACACAGGCAGATTCTCAGGAGAGCTGCAAATTTCATTTACCAGCTGGGAAGCCTTGGTCAAGTTGACAAATGCCCCAAACTACAGTGTACCCACCTCTAAAATGGGTGAAAGAGGCATTGTCATGCACGTAAGCAATTTTTTCAGAGTACGTTTTTAAGAAGTGTTTCAATTATGTGCTTAAAATAAATAATAAAAGGGTTGGGACAGTTGGGTTGTCAAGAAAACCTAAAAGTTGAATTTATAAGTCACATGCCACATCAAGTAAGTTCCAAATGATTCAAAAATATATATATTTACAAATGACACCATAAAAGTACTAGAAAAATTTTAAAAAAGCATGGATGAATTCCTTATAATCCTGGAATAGAGAAGGCCTTTCTGGCTATGATTGAAAATCCAGAAGCCATAAAAGAAAAGATTGATAAATTTAACCACAGAAAAATAAAAATATTTTATATGGCAAAACAGCAACAGTGATAACACCGTAAACTCAAGACAGATGACGAGAAAAAATATGTGTAATCACATCGTAGGCAAGTGAAAAATTAACATGAAAAAGACTGTTGTTAAAAAAAATAGACAAGGAGAGAATCACAATTATCAGGAAAGGAAATACACATGGCTTTTAATCATAATAAACTCATAATAGAAATATAATAAATACAGAAAATAACAAAAGTTAATAAATTTAAAACTCACTGAGATACCATTTTCACCCATCAGGTTGGCAAAAGTCGACCCGTTTATTGGTGGCGAGGCTGTTGTAGAGAGTAGTCAAGGAAGGCCCCACCAAGGTGCCATTTGGACAGGACCTGAAGGACATCTGGGGGTAACATGTTCCAGGCTGACAGCACAGCATGTGCAGAGGCCTCAAGGAGGAGTGTTCATGGCAGCTTCCAGGAACAGCTGGGAGGCCAGCGTAGCCAGGCAGGGTGAAAAGGGAAGTAGTAGCAGGAGGTGAGGTGAGAAAGGTGTGGGGTAGGTGGTTAAGAATTGGGAAGGTTCTGAGAGTTTACCTAATGAGTTAGCCAGGCACACTTCCATGGATACTGGCAAACACGAGACTCCTGGGGCAGAGACAAAGGATTTTATTACCTCAAAGCCTGAGCTTCATGTTTGTGTATTTTGCACTTGCCCCCCAACAAGTACTCTGGGGTGATGCAGAGCAGCCCAGGGGGATTCTGCCCATAGAGTGGATTTGCATCACAGCTGAAGAACCCAGAGCTTAGGGAACCCCAGTCTTTCATAATGGACTGCAGGCAAACCTGGCTGACTTTTGACCCAGATGGAGACAGTATTACACTGGACAGCAGACAAAACTATCCCCTGCCTCAGATGGAGAGTCTCTTCCAAGGCTATTCTTTATATAAACGTCCTTGAAAAGATAGTCGAAATAAAGGCCTCCAGTACCTCTGCTCCAAGAAGTGCAGAAATATAAGAGATTCATAGAGAATTGTCTCCCAACAGGGGCAAATCTTTAGAGCCTTGTAGGCCACTGTGAGGACTTTAGACTTTCTTGTGAGTGGTCTGGAGATGGAGGGTTTGAGCAGAGGAGTTTTATGTAATTCATCTCCCCACTGTATTCTTATTCCCCTATGCATGCTCAACATTAGGTCGACAGGCACTCAGAAACTGAAATGGAGACTGAAAAGCAACTGTGTTAGGGTTCTCCAGAGAAAGAGAACCAATAGGATACATAGATTTGTATAAGAGGAGATACGTGAAGGAATTGGCTTACTCAGTGATGGAGGCCGAGAAGTCCGACGAGCTTCGATCTGCAAGCTAAAGAGCAAAAAAGTCGGTGGAATAGTTCAGTCTGACTCTGAAGGCCCGAGAATCAGAGGGCTGGTGGTGTAAGTCCTGGAGTCTGAAGGTCCTAGAGCAAGGAACTCTGATGTCCAAAGGCAGGAAGGTGGATGTCCCAGCTCAAGAAGAGAGAGAATTTGCCCTTTGTGTTTTTTTTGTTCCATTTGGGCCTTCAACGGATTGGATGATGCCCGTCGACGTTGGTGAGGGGCACATCTCTTTACTTAGTGTACTGAAGCAAATGCTAACCTCTTCCAGAAACACGAGACACACCCAGAAATAATGTTTCACCAGCTATCTGGGTGTTTTTTATTCCAGTCAAGTTGACCCATAAAATTAACCACCTATTGGAATTGTCAACATGGGGGCCATGGGGACCCCCATGCAGTTTCAGGGGAGTAATGGGGATGGATGCTGGACTGGAGTGACCTAAGGAGAGACCATGAGAGGAGGAAAGGGGGCAGTGACCCTGGCCAGTGCCATAAGAAATGTGGCTGTGAAGGAGAGGAGAGACCAGGGAGCCGAAAGGGAATGGATGCTGAAAATTAATGATCCCTTGCTGCATTGAGCATGGTAAATACTGGAACACCATCTGTGTTAATACATAAAAATTCATTCAATTCTTGAGAAGAATGTAAATGTTTAGGCTTTTATCAGCTAGAGGATTTCATAAAATGTTGATTAGAAAAATCATTCTGAAAAGCAATCCATCTAAAATTCGAAGAGGTAAAAGTCTTAAGATTTCTAAATGTTTTCCCTTTGACATAATCTAGAGTGCAATTAGGAAAAAAACCTTAATTCTTCTTAAACTAATTGTATATTTCCTAGTCTGTGCACTGTTGGTGGGAATGTAAAATGGTGCAGCCCCTATGGAAATCAATACGGGGGTTGCTCAAAAATAGGAAATAGAATTATCATATGATCCAGCAATTCTTCTGGGTATATAACCCACAGAATTGAAAACAGGGTCTCAGAGAGATATTTGTATACTGATGTTCACAGCAGCAATGTTCACAACAGCCAAGAGGTGGAAGCAACCCATGCGTCCATCAATGGATAAACAAAATGTGATATACACATACAATGGATATTATCCAGCCTTAAAAAGGAAGGAAATTCTGATACATGCTACAACATGAATGAGCTTGGGGGACACGCTAAGTGAAAGAAGCCAGTCACAAAAAGACAAATACTATATAATTCCACTTATACTAGGTACCTAGAGTTCTCAGCTTCCTAGAGACAGAAAGTAGAATGGTGCTTGCCATGGCCTGGGAGGGGGCGGAAATGGGGAATTGTTTAATGGTTATAAAGTTTCAGTTCTGCAAGATGAAAAGAATTTTGGAGATCTGTTGCACAACATTGTGAATGTACTTAACACTACTAAACTATACAGTACACTTAAAAATGGTTAAGATGGTAAATTTATGTTATGTGTATTTTACGACAATTTAAAAAAACAGGGGACTTCCCTGGCGGTCCAGTGGTTAAGAATCCGCCTTCCAATGTAGGGGACGCGGGTTCCATCCCTGGTCAGGGAACTAAGATCCCACGTGCTGCAGGGCAACTAAGCCCACGTGCCGAAACTACTGAGCCCGCACACCACAACAAAAGAGCCCGTGTGCTGCAACAAAGATCCGGAGTGTTGCAACTAAGACCTGATGCAGCCAAATAAATAAAAATAAATATTAAAAAAAAATTTTTTTTAAAACAAAACAGTTTTTGGTTTCACTTGGCACCTCCAGCACCTTCATCTTTCTGTGCCTGGTGTATTTTGGCATTTCCATTTTCTGCAGGGTTATTCCCATCCTTGCCAACATCGACTTTTCCCCTTTTCTCTCTCTCTTTTTAAAAAAAGTATTTATTTACTTATTTATTTATTTGGGTGTGCCAGGTCTTAGTTGCAGCACGCAGGATCTTCATTGCCACGTGTGGGATCTTCATTGCGGCACGTGGGATCTTCAGTTGCAGCATGCATATGGGATCTAGTTTCCTGACCAGGGATCGAACCTGGACTCCCTGCATTGGGAGCGTGGAGTCTTAGCCACTGTGCCACCAGGGAAGTCCCTCCACTTTTCTGTTTGGGTCCCTGCTCTCCCTTCTTTACAGGGGTCTTTTCAGGCTTGGGCTCTGGCTTTGGAGGCACAGGTTTAGCAGCTAC